TGTTTGCGCGTGTGTGTGTGCGTGCGTGCGTGTGTGTGTGTGTGTGTGCGTGCGTGCGTGCGTGTGTGTGTGTGTGTTTAGCAGTCCCGTTCTGCTTCAGGGTCACCATTGCTGCAGAAAGAGAATCTCATTATGGTGTTTACTAGGGGTGCACCGAATGGGAAATTCTTGGCCGAAAGCGATACCGAAAATAGGAAACAGTTGGCCGAAAACCGAATGCCGAAAGGCCTCACCAATTACCAATTAAAAACAGACGCTTTTGACCTCCTTACTCGACGTTATCCTTCATCATCCTCCAAATCGTGCCCAAACTTCTCGAACAATTGACACCTCTTCTCCCAGACCCAATGCCTCCCCAATCACCTTCTACACTTGCTCATCGTCTAAATCGCCGTGTTGATTCAAGAGACATACGTAACTCTACCTCAAAAATCAATACATTTACTCTGACACTCCCTAAATAAATAAACTTCTGCAAGTTCACCGCCGGAGCGACGAAGTAGAATCGTCACGCCACCTTGGTCCACTCCCTCCCAGAACTTCATTGTCAAAAATAAAAAAAATTGATTTTTTGAAATTTGATCTCAGTCGTCTTGTTTTTCTCTAAACATTTAAAAGTACCACCAGTGTGGGGTCTATAATCGAGACGACGAGTAGGGTTGTTTACGAACAAGGAGTGTTTACACCATTGGTAACCTTTCATGTCTTTGTCCAAGAGTTGCCATAATTGTTTGTTTTCATCCCACCCCTCCGTCGTATTATCTTTATTAGTATGTTTGTGTTTAACAATCCCCCTTCATAAAAATGTCTGTACCTTACAACATTTCGAAACAGCCAGTTGATTCGATATCTTTTACGTCATCCCCAGTATGAAAACACAATTCAACAATACCTAGAGAACTATAAAGAACTATAAACTTGAAAAAAAAAGTAATCTATTTTGTCTGAACAACACACTGCCTCTCCCTGCCAAATCCATGTTATGAACGGTAGCCCGTGCACCGTAAGACAAAACTAACTCAGTAAATGTAGACATCACTTCGAGGTGTCTCTCTGAGTGGACTCAGCGTTTATCTTACGACACCTTCAATTAGATCTGTGTTTCTCCACTCTCAGTCATGTACCTATCCTAATAGTGCTATTTTTATTTCGTAAAAAAATGTCAATTAGTACATTTGTACAGTCTCATCTCCGTGTTTTATGTTAATACTTTATACTAAGTTAATGTATTATCGGGAAATTTCAGGAATTAGGACAGTACCGAAATGAAGATAAACAAATGAAAAAAGGTGTGTGTGTGTAGTGGTGAAGAGAGATAAGGAAATGTCGGAAAAAGACACTGCGGGACACCCTGAGAGGTACATCCGCTCTCGGTACGTCCGACTGACACTGGAAATTGGGGTACTGGTGTCCTCTGGTTGGTCGGTCCTGGACGTAGACGGTTGGATGGTGTGTCCATTCTCTTTTAATTCCGGGAGATTTTTATTATGTTGTTGATGGTTCTGGGAGAATCCTTTTGATCCCGATGTTGATTGACCTTCGTGCAATACTGCAATACTTGAGTCTAGACTATTTCGTCGATCCAGGTAGGCATGGTAGTAAATAAAGGGTAATCACATTAAGTTTTATATGTTATCGAGAGGGATTTATCGTGATACGTCCTAATAGAATTTATGTATCTTACTGGAACACGTTCTTCAGCAGTCGACAAAAAGGGAAGGTGACTTCGTAAAGAGTGTTTTGATTTAGGGACCATATCCTTATTAGCGGACGTATCTTCTCTGAAAGGTGTCTACCAAGTGAGACCTAGAAAAGTTCTGTGTACACAAAGAGTTAGAGAGGGGAGACACCTTAATGACACAAAATAACGTCGAAGCATTTTTAGAACTGATAAATGGTGTACTTGCAAAAAGAAACATTGTGTGACTATACGTGTAATTTGTTACCCTTTGAGTTAAGGTTTGATGTCATCATTAGTTCGCGTCGGGGTTGTATTCGAGTGCACCGAGTTAATATAGCAATGTTGTTTTTTTTTGTTTTTTGTTTTTTTTTGTCGCCCTTGGGTGGTGTACGTGCGGTGCATGTGTGCGTATTTTTTGCGTGTTTCTAATAGACATTTTACAGAATGTAATAGTCGTGCCGCAGTTTACCTCACCTTGATTTTCCTACTTGCACAGATGACATTAGTGACTCCATTTGTGATCCCTACGTGGCTTATAAAGCCGGTGGCTTTAATAGTCGCGGCTTTACCAAAGGGGGAGGCTCTTTACCAGTCGACTTGTGCAAATGTTTAGCGTTAGGCGGAGAGAGAGACTATAAACTTTATAGGGGGTTCGCCGTCTGTACAACCTAGCCGGTCGGCGCTCGTACCAACGCGTCGGCACGAACAGCGGCAAAACTAGATGCAGGTAGTGTTGTTGTGAATCCAATGGTTTTGAATATTCCACGTAAACAACAACAACTTCCGGACCGACAATTGGGTCAGAAATAAATGTGATAAAACAACATCCGGATGCCGGATACTTCAAATACGTCCAAATTTCGTGAAACCGAACAAGACTTTACGTGAAACAACATCAATAGTGAATGTCTTTTATTTTTACGTGTACTGAACCTTAATTACATGACATACGTAAGTTTTCACTTACTTATTTACAAAATACCTGGGTATTATCACTAATAATAAATTCAATTCAATTCAATTCAAAACGGTATTAGTTAGAAAAAAGGTATTAGTCCATCGACTTGTTGTACCATTTTACATATGTCATATATATATATTTATATATATATATTATATTTTTTTATATGGATA